GCAGTGTAGAGTAGTGCTTGTTGTTTGTCATTTCTCCGATCACAAATGCAGACAGGGTTTTATGTTTACGCGGTGCGATGCAATGCAACGCGTAAAACGACAGTATATGAGTCATTATAATCCATAATTATGTCCCCACTGGATGCAACAAATGCCTCATTTATAATGGGTTTTCATGTTTTTGTCTCGTCGTTCCGGCCGGACAGGGCATCATCACAGTATGGTAGGGGCGTAACATTTCCGTCTCATGCTTGAGGTATTCGGCCAATCACAACGCACTGGATAGCTGGCCAATCACAGCACACCTTGCTTTTCAGACCGATGAGCTTTGTAAAAATCGATGCGTTTCAGAAAGGCGGGGCATAGAGGAGAAACAAGAATGTACAGTATGTGGAAAATAATGTGTTTTTTGAACCTTAAACCGCATCAACACATTTCATTACACCAAATACACAAAATAATGTTCTTTTTAGCAACATCATATGACCCCTTTAAAATTAACTTGTATTAGTATTAGTAGCTTAGGTTACTTCAGTGTTGTTCTACATCCTGTCTCTTTAAAGGACTAGTTCACTTTTGGAATGAAAATTCTGTCATCATTGACTTCCATAGCTTTTTTTTTTTTCTTCCTACTGTTGAAGTCAATGGTAGCCAACTGTTTGGATGCCAACATTTTTCAAAATATCTTCTTTTGTGTTCAACAGAAGACATAAACTCATACAGGTTTGGAATAAGCGGAGGGTGATTAAATGATGACAGGATTTTCATTCTGGAAGTGAACTACTCCTTTAATGGATAGTTCACCCAAAAATGAAAATGTTGTCATTTACGAATTATGTTGTCTAAATTATTAACTTTTGCGGAAGACAGTGTTTTGAAGAACCGTGTTTGTCCACACAAAGTCAATGGGGTCCAAAACAACATTGGACTTGGACACCACTGACTTTTATTATGTGGACAGAATAAAAAAAGATCATTTTCAAAAGTGTGTGTGTGTGTGTGTGTGTGTGTGTGTGTGTGTGTGTGTGTGTGTTA